TCCTATTGGGTCGCCATTTTCTCCGGAACCCGAGAAGAAACTTTAAGAAAATTAAAAACTGCTCTCGTGAGAAAGGGGCTAGGAATATTGGGCCAAGGAATGTTCTTCCATCACGGTAATGCACCTGCTCATTGTCCATGGGCAGCGATGAGAACTGCCTTTGGGAACCCTTACCCCATTACCTTGCAGCCCTGACCTTGCCCCTTCAGGCTTCTTTGTGCTCCCCAAACGGAAAGAACATTTCAACGGTGAGTGCTTTGATGGTACCAAACTGCCATTTCAATGTGGTACAAACGAAAGGGTACAGCATTAATTATTTGGGGAAGGACTCAAACTCAAGAGCCAATCTCACTGCAAATAAGTCGATGCCAACTCATAGCAACCCTATGGGGGAGGATAGAACTGCCCCCTGTGAGTTTCCAAGGCTGGAATCTTTATGGGGCTAGAAACTTCTCCCTTGGAGTTGGCTGGTAGTTTTGAGCAGCTGACCTTTTGGATTGCAGCCCAATACTTAAATCACTTGGCCACCAGAACTCCATATTTGGGAAGGGCTATAACAGTTTATAGGTTCGCTATATGTCAGCATTGACTCGATGGCTGTGTGTAACGGGAGTAGAAAGCCCAGTCTTTCTCCTACAGAGCTACTGGTGGTTTGGAACTGCCAACCTTTTGGATCAAGGGCTACAGATGGAAAATGCTGTCTTTTGAAGTGTTGCGTACCCTAGTTTAGTGTTTTCCAAAGTGGGTGATACCGCCCCCCTGGAGGACACTGGAATGATCCAGGCGGCCCCCAAAAGCAAATCACTACTTTCCTGAACTATGGGCTAGAGTACAATGTTTTTAAATGCAAAGGGAACACTAATTTTTTTCCTGAAAAGGAGGGAGTAGGGAACCTATGATCTAGTCACATTGAGAAAAAGTAGCTTCACATTTTCAAATGTATATTTTAATAAGGCTTTCTATGATTTCATAGTGATACATTTTGACGTGGCCTTGTATGACTTGAGAGTGACCTTGTTGGAATTAGACCTGCTTCTAAGCGACCTCTTGGAAGTACTCATTGGACACAAGGATATGTTCTCATTAAAAAAAAAACCAACCCAAAAGTCACTGAGTTTGAATGTATTTCAGCTCACAGTGACCCCATAGGCCAGAGTAGAACTGACCACTGTGACTTTCTGAGTCTATAAGTCTTAACAGGAGCAGAAATCCAGCTCCTTCTCCTGAGGAGCTACTGGTGGAATGCTGGCCTTGTGGTTGGCCATCCAGTTCGCAGCCCACTGAGTGCGAGACCAGGGGTGCTGTTCTCTCAAGAGGAAGCGGACTCAACAGTGACGATCCAGAGGATAATGCCAGATATTAATGTTTATGAAGACAATCTCGTAATGTCACAGTGGCTGGGACCCAGGCGTGGTGCTGGTTGTGTGCCAGTCAATAGCGTCCCAGTCTTAAGGACCCTACAGGACAGAGTTCAAGTGCCCGATAGGGTTCGCGAGGCTGAACTCTGTCCAGAGCAGATCACCAGGTCTTGGCTCTTGCAGAGACATTGGTGGGTTTGAATCAACAGCCTTCCCATTAGCAACTGAGCATGTCAGCGTTGTACCACCAGGGCTCCCCGAGCTGGTGTTTTTTGGGAAAAGGGAGTAGCTATATGGAAATGGGATTGGGAAAGGCCTTTCTGAGGTGGCATTTCAACTGATGAGTGCATCGAGGGGAAAAGTCTGTACCACAACCTGGAGGAAGACTATTTAGGCAGGTGGAAGAGCAAGGGCAAACATTCTTGGGAGAGAAAGCATCATTAAGTAAACTGCGGCCTCTTCCTTGGAAAAGAAGTTCATGAAGATATGTAAGACACTTTAATTGCGTTCCTTAAAATGAAAACCACAGGCAAACCCCACTGAATTGTGTTCCCACAATTCCCCAGAACTGCGTTGACTGCCCAACCCAGTCTTTTGTAGAACACTTTTCACCATGTGCTTGTTTACACGTGTGCTTTCAGCTTCGTGCCCTGTTTGCCAATGGGTCGTCTGATCTTGATGACCCCACCCTAGCGCCACTCAGAGATGAGGAAAGGTTTGGGATTGCTCAGCGATTGTTCACCTCGGCCGGCATCAGTCTGGAGAGAGTGCAGGCATCTGTCAGAGTCAGCATCCTGGAGGGCCCACACTTCTTCCCGCTGCTTCTCTGCATCGCCCTGAACGGCCTCTGCGTCCTGGGCCAAGGACACGAGTAACTTTGGGACACGTTAACACAACTGCTCCTGGCCAAGGCCGGGTGTCTTTCAGCTGCCCTTAAGTTGTGACTTTGGGATTTCGGTCTTTTCCATGTTAAATGCGGGTCCAGGGGAAGCAATGATGCAGCAGGTTTAGAAGTGGTGCCCTCTCATGACCTCACCTCTGTGACCAGGCACCTACTCTGCATTCCATCGAGGTCCACCAGGGCTGATGACCCAGGGTCTAAAGTAAATCCTAGCACCTGAAGAGCAAACGAGTCATCAAGTCCCTTTGAATTCAGCGATCACATGGACGTGGGTGCAGTGCTGTGCCACACAAGGTTGTCGGTCTTCAGACGTGGGTTGTCAGGTCTTTCTTCTGCGGGGTCTCTGGTGGATGGGGGGGGGGCCTCAAACCTCCCACCTCCCACCTTTCTGCTCCCTCAAGTGTGCTAATCACGTGCAACCCCCAGGAACTTCTAAAGACTAGGCCATCATCTGAAATCAGGAAGGTCGGGCATTCTAAGCTAACTCACGAGGGGGGTGGGGGGCTTCAAACAGTTTAAGGAAAGATAATGGAATTGTTCTTGAACTTTTTGTACCTCTCAGTACATTCCGGCCTTTCCCCTCCCCCTGAAGAATTAGAAAATCACTTTCTTAAAATTTCCACTTTCTGTTATACAAAAATAGGAGATTGACACTTGCATCCAAGAATTCACTTTAAATTCTGAATGCTCTGGGAAGACAATTTCTCGTCACACAAGCGCTATTTTGACTGTACTACGTGATTGACAAATGAGCTGTAAACGCCACAGATATTCACTGGAAAGAGAACAGGGAGTCTCTGCTAAAGAAAATTACACCAAAAAGGAGAATCTTTTTGCAAGACCCCTCTGCTTGGGATTCTAGCCACGTTTTCATTTTATCCCACTTGGAATTCTCAGAGAAGAGCCCTGGGGCTCAGTGGTTAAGCACTGGTCTCCCCCTGCGGTAGATTCCCGCCCTGCGAGCGCCCTGGGGCAGTTCTACTCGGTCCTATGATAGGGCTGCCTGTCCCTTGGGATCCACGGCATGCCGGTGCTTGGGTTCCCCGTGATTCTGATCCTTTGGTGTCCATACTCACTCTGTTCAGAACCATAGGAGGCT